ATGAGGCTTTTATATTTATTTAAATATCAATGGAGCTTAAAACGGCCAAGTGGTGGAAAGATATTGGGCTACTTGGGCCCAATAGGGGAGGCGCCCCCTTTTCCTGATGGAGAAGGAAGGGGGGGGGCTAATTGTAGGGGGACTCCTCCTCCTCTTGGCTGGCACAAGGGGGGAGATCTTTCCCCCCTTGCGGCTCCCCCTCCTCTCCCTCCAACCTATATATACTAGAGGGTTTTGGCACTTTTGACATACAAGTTTTTGGAGCCTCCTCTAGTTTTCTAGTTCTAGTTCTTTGATCCAATTAGAGCTAGATCAAGATCCCATAATCAGAAGCCCAGTGTGGTTCTAATCTCCTCTCTCTAATTCTCCAGCAATGATTAGCTCTGGACAGTGAAGCGCTCTTGGATCGTGAAGACCGTACCCTTGCAAACTGTGGAGAGGTCATGCTTTCAGCTTCCGTTCGATGGATCATTTGTCGATGGTTCGAGGGACTCCAAGTACAATCTACACCAACTCGTTTTCTCCCGCTGTAACTCGGGGTTGGTAACGATCCGATCTAAACCGTTATTGCATCTTCATAGTGTTCCTGTTTGATCATAGGGCATTTTGTTTGGTTATCTACTACGTTTCCCAACATATCATTGTCCCAAATGCAGTCAAGGTCCGATGGAGCTGAAATGAAGCAACTAAATCTGAGATGCAGTGGAGCAATGAAGCGCCATATGCTTGGCATCCTCATGGGGCCCATCGCACGTAGGGAAAGGCGCGTTGGCAAAAATACACTTAAGATTAAGGCTGGCCTTGTTGTTGAGCCTATCCTTGAAGAGTAGCCATGTGAAGATCTTAACCTTGATTGGCACCTTTGAGGTCCAAATTGGGTTGACAATTGTGTTTGATGTTTGCCTCATTGGTGATGAGGCCATAGGTGTTCTTGGTGGATAAGGGCAGTCCGAGTAGGAGGAAACACTCACCCTTTGACGAGGAGCTCAGGAAGTCCTATAAAACAAGCAACTCCAAAGAAGCAACCAAGGTTAGGCGATTCCGCAGGTTAGCTAGTAAGCCTGATTCTTGAATAGTATCCAGTGACAACTTTTCTTGAGTAGAGTGGGAGCAAATGTTTGGGAGAAGGCCAATTTTAGTGGGTTTTTTAGGAGCCACAAGTCTAGCAAAAAAACATAAAGAGCAGCCATCATTGGTTAACAAAGGAAATATTTTGTAGAGCTGTTAATTGATAGTTTATTGTCTCCCAAAGGAATGATGGATTTGTTGTATTGTCTGCAATGTCAGGGGAGTATCTGAAGTGGTACCACTATAACCACAATAGGTCAAGTCTTTGTAGGAGTTTGAAAGCAAGTTTCATTAGAAGGCAGTAATTTTGGATATCTAGATTTTTAAAACCAAGTCCACCAATGTTTTTGTGTTTGCACATGTTTTTCCAAGCAATAACGGATTTTGAACTAGTGTGTGTTTCCTCGTTCGTCCAGAAAAAAGCACGTCGGTAAGCTTATACAATTTTTAAAACATTTTTTGGGAGTCGAAAGACAGACATGAAGTAAACTACCAGCAAGTCAAGAACCGATGTGATGTATGTGTAGCGGTCGCCTTTAGAGAGCAGCCTTGCAATCAGGGGAGGAGGCAGGATTGGAGCTTAAACGGGGCCAAACATGGTGATTCTCACTTAGAGGGGCCAAGAAAGCTAATTTTGTCTAAACATCATGTCTAAACTAGCCTTAAGTACAAAATCATTCGTACTGTACAATGCCATAGGGGGGCCAGGCCCCCTGCTGGTCCCCCTTGCTCCACCACTGCTTGCAATCTAACTGTCTATTTTTAAGGTATAATAATTGGATCCAACCGGTCTTAACCACTTTCTAGCAGTGCTGATAAAACTCAACCATGGATATTGTCAGATTCAGGGGCCCTATTAGAGTCCATAGCAAACAAGGAATTTATAATTTCCTCAATAATAGAAGGTCTAGTCAAAGCAGCATCTTCATCCTCACTAATTTTCTGATTGTCACCCCACAAGTCAGGAGACCGAGGAGGAGATCTAAGAACAAATTACTAGGAGCAGGACCAAGAAGGTACCTATAATAAACAATTGCATGATTAATCAAATCATTAGTGCCCTCAGTCACACCATCACTACATTCAACAGAGTGAATCACTTTCTTCTTCTTTTACTACTATTAGGTACTTTATGAAAGTAAAGTAAGTACTAGTATTGTTATCCCCTTGGAGCCCGATAGTTAATTCAGTGCCTAGGCTCATCTGCACCCCGTGGAAGTAATTTCAAAAAATATATAAAAATCAAAAACTTTTGATTCTTTTTAGATGGAAGATGTTTCAATGCGTGATGTTCATGTCAAATTGCAGCTTGTTTAGACATGTGAGGAGCTCATGGTAAAAAAGACAAAATGGAAAAAACAGTACATGTACAGTAAACTTTATTATAGACCCAAAATTTGTGTTTCTGCGGAGCGCTAGTGAAATGTCCAAACTCCATGAAATTTAGCACGGACTTCATGCACATGAGCATCTAGCATGACAAAAAAAATCCGAATTTCTTTTAACTATTTTAAATGAATTTACTGTTTGTTGGCGCCGAATCCCTTGCCTTAGCAGCTTAGCTCACCGCAGCTCCCTCTCTCTCTCTCTGCATCTCAGTCTGGCTCAAACCGAAAGGAGGAGGAATAAGAAGTAGAGCACGCGATGGACACAGTGGTTTTTCCAGTGCACGAGCGCCCGCCGCAACAACGCCACTTTTACTTGAGCACGAACTCAACCCACGCCCCGTCACAACCAACCCTGCATGGGCTTTATACCCCGGGCCAGCGCTGGGCACGAACCCCACGCCTCCTACCCAGCCGGGCGCCCGATCGGCCCACTCTGCTCGCGCCCACCCCGCGCACGGGTCATGGCGAGCCCGCAGCGATTTCCACGCTCGCCCTGAGCAGTTCACCAATGGCGTACGGCTACTACGGCGCGTCGCTTGCACATACACGCGCACCCAAACACTACACAAGCACGCATACACACACACCCGCCACCGATCGCACCCGACACGCCTGGTGCGCGCACGCACGCGCACCCGATGTGGTAGCCGTGGCTTATTGGCCAACACTCATCCCCTAAGCCATATTATAGAGGAGTGTCGACACCTCGACATCGACGTCGGCGAGAAGAGCCTGCTCCGCCGCCTCTGCCTTCCGCGGCCTCGTGCACTCGCGCTAGCCACAATTGTAGGAGCGGCCACGTCGCTTCCCTCCGCCGCCCGATGCTGAGCTGTCAGCGTCTTCATCGTCGTGGTCGAGGCCACCACCTCCCTGACGCCGTCGCGCTGCCCACTGCATCGCAGTCAGCATGAGTTGGTCGTCCCCTCGCTCGCCACCGTGACCTCTCCTCGAACGCTTTCAGCTGCACAAGCGCCTCCCCGAACGGCATCTGCTCCACATCGCAGAACCGAGTCCAACAATCGGGACCGAGTCCAGCAACTTCTTCACCATAACCGGGTCATCCAGTGTTGACCCCAACCCCACGTAGCGCACCTCCATGCCGCCGATCTTCCCGGCGAAGGAGTCCAGTGACTCCCTGTCCGCCATGCGCAGCCAGTTGAAATCGTTGCGGAGGGTGGCCAGTTGTGCCGCCCTGACATGATCTGCACTGATGAATCGTGCCTTAAGGCTGCTCCACACCTCCGTCGTCGTCTTCTTCAATGACATCTGCAGCATGATGTCCTCGGCGAGCGCTCCGAGCAGGTAAGCCCTCGCCGTCTTGTTCTTCTTCGGGTTGACCGCAGCGGCATCCGCTGGAGCCACCGCCTCCCATAGCCCATGTACGTCGAGGTTCCCCTCGACCTTGATCGCCCACATGGTGTAGTTGTCACCGGTGAGCGCCGGTCACCGCAGGGACACCGGATTGCCTGCTCCGCTAGCGTACGACACAAGTGACATCGCCGGCGATCACCCCCGCAACCGCAGCTCTGATGCCAATTGTTGGCACCGAAGCCCTCGCCTTAGCTCACCGCAGCTCTCTCTCTCTCTCTCTCTTTCTCTCTCTCTCTCTCTCACTCAAACGGAAAGGAGGAGGAAGAAGAAGTAGAGTACGGGTGGACACGGTGGTTTCTCCGGCGCACGAATGCCCGCCGCAACAATGACACTTTTACTTGAGCACCAAATCAACCCACGCCCCGTTACAATGAACCCCACACGGGCTTTATACACTGGGCCAGCGCTGGGCATGAACCCCACGCCTCCTACCCAGCCGGGCGCCCAATCGGCCTGCTCTGCTCACGCCTACCACACATGGGTCGCGGCGAGGCCACAACGATCTCCACACTCACACTAACCAGTTCGCCAACAACCTACGGCTACTACGACGCATCTCATGCACATACACATGCGCACCCAAACACTACACACGCCCGCCCGCCACGGCTCTGATCGCACCCGACACGCCTGGTGCGCACACGCACGCGCACCCAACGCAGTCGCCGTTGCTTATTGGCCAACAGTGTTCACCTCTGGTGCATATGCACCTGAGAGCCGAAATGTCGTGTCCCCTTGGAGCAATCATCTCTCACTATAGTGATTTAAACCAATGATGAAGTTCCTCATCGGCATACATATTATGCAACTCAACCGGGATTTCAACTTTTTTCCTAAAAGTCTTGAGGATCATGAACAATAAGTTCCTCAAAAGTCTCCAGGGTTTGCAATTGAACCTGCAATTCTTGCTTCCTCTTCTTATTATGCCCAAACACATTAGCAAATTCCGCCCACTGTATGGAAGGAAATAGAGGAGGTGCCGGAGGTTGAAGATGAACAGTAAGAGGACGACATTCGTTGGATTTGCATCGTATGGCTCGGATAGAATCGAGCAAAACATATTCTTGTTTTCCATCTCTCAGACTAAAAAAAGTAAATATATCTAAAAAAACTTCCCAAGTAAATCAGTTCAAAAAAAGAACGAACTACTCGAGTATACTAATCTGCGCGCGGTTACAGATATTGATCAAACTCATGGGGACCTACCTTGGTCTGCCCATCCTCTAGCAAGTCGTACTTCCAGCTATCAGCTCCGTCGACGCCGTCCACGTACTCGCGTCCCTCGGCCGCCGCGCGCCGGCGCTTGGCCACCCGGTCGACGACACGCTCAAGGGCGACGTCGAACGCGTCTTTGAACGTAACCCCCTGGGCCGCCGGGTGCCGGTACATCACGGTGGGTATAAGCTGGATGACCCGCTCCCGCATCTGCGCCACCTTCTCCGGCGGTATCCTACGGAGCACCTCCTCGATGCTGACGTTGCGGCCGACCACGTCGCCGTGATGGATGAAGACGGAGTAGCTCCGGTAGTCCCTGGGCAGGTGCCAGGTGTACTGGAGGTAGGCGGAGATGGGGTGGAAGAAGACGGGGATACAGCCGGCGAGGATGGAGTCGAAGGTGGACTTGCGCGTGTAGCCGTCGCCGCGCGGCTGCATGCAGAACTGGGCGCTCTCGAGCAGGCGCATGGCGTGGCCGGGCACGTAGTGGTTGAGCTTGCCGAGCAGAGAGCAGCGGCTCGACTTGCCGCACTGCTCGATGATCTCGGCGCGCTCGGGCCCCATACCGTTGCCACGGGGACGGGGCCAGCCGGCGAAGCACCAGAGCCACGCGCGGTCCAGCCGGCGCATGCGGTCCTGCCAGCCGGTTACCTCGGCGTCGGAGGAGGGGTGGAAGTGCGACGGGAACGGCACGGCGAAGTCGTTGCCGTGCCGCGCGCTGGCCTCGGTGTTGAGGAACGTGGCGTTGCGGATGGCCAGGTCGTAGGTCATGAGCGTGTTGCCCCAGCCGGTTGAGTCCGGGCTGCGGAGGAAGTCCCATGTGCCACGCCCGGCGACGAGGAAGTGGTCGCGCCCGCCCATGGCGCGCCACTCTGGCCGCCGCGCCAGCCAGTCCATCAGGTCCCGAGACAGGGCGTCCCGCACCGGGAGGTCATTGTTGCCCAGGTGCATCGCCGCGTCCAGGCCGGCGTAAAACGGGATGTACACAACGGCGGCAGTGGCGGGGTCGGCCGTGAGGCACTCGTACCGCCGCATCCGGGCGTGGAAGATGATGCTCAGCATGAACTGGTCGGTGTCGTAGGCGCCCCGCTCCGGCAGCGACCCGCCCTCGCCGCCGCCCGTGATGGGCGGGCCGAACCCGTCGTGGGACACGTCCTTGCACACGTCGGAGGAGGCCGAGACCCGGTGGCACTGGCGGACGAGGTCGGCGTTGAACCGCGGCGGCAGGTCGTACATGTACACGTACCGGCCGGCGCATGGGTCCCGTAGGAAGAAGCGGGGCACCGAGAAGAACGCCGACGGCTTGAGCTGGAGCACGGTGGGCGCTGCCACCGTTGCGCTGCCTGATTTTTGCACGCTGGTGGAGAAGTGGTGGTAGAATACCATGGCCCAGAAGACGGTGTAGAGGAGCGCGAGGTAGAAGAGCCGGGACGGCCGCCGGAGGCCTCTCTCGGTGTTCTGCTTGCCATCGCCGTCGTCGGCGGAGTGCTGCTTGCCGTCAACGTCGTTGACTGCGGCGTCCAGGTCCCTCTGGAGGCTCCGCGAGAAGGGCTTCATCGGTGTTGCTGCCGTGCGTGTGCTATGCGGCATTCGGCTATAGGGCAGGGCGGGGCAGGACGGCAGGGTGCTAGTACAAAACCCTTGTTTAATACTGTAATCTTTTTCCGTTAGGGCATCGATCGAGGTTACTCGTATTCGTCGTCGAGTTGACCACATTAATGGTACTGACACACACACATGTGCTTGCATGCATGTATGCATGGTGGCAATGTCTTGTGCTTCGAGCAGCTTTGGATCCCGCGTGCGTGTATTAGAGCATCTCCAGCCGTTGGCCTATCAGGGGCGCCTCAAATCATCGTTTTGGGGCGTGCGTGTATTAGCATCTCCAACTGTTGGCCTACCAGGAGGCGCCTAAAATCGCCGCCTGGGGTGACCCGGCGTAAAAAATGGGCCTGGGGCGAGTTGGTCCCCAGCCGCCGTCCCCAGTGCCGGCCCAAGGTGCGTTCAAAAAATTTAAAAATATAGCAAATTAGCCGAAGTTCGGCGACGTTCGGCTTTGAACACTACAAATTTCGGCATATATTAGACATGTTCGCGGATTTTCATTACATGCATAGTAAACTAATAAAAAAAACTTGCTGAACGCCGAGTAGTTGGCGTCGTCGCCGCCGTCGTCTGCCTTCTCCTCTTTGACGCGAACGCCCTAGCTGGACCCCTCCCCGGCGTCGCCATGGCGGGCTGGTGGCGGTGGCGGCGCGTCGTCGTCGTCGCTGCCGTCGATGATGACGACTCCTGTTTCGTCGCGGCCTCGGCGGCGCTGCGAGAAGCGCCGCAGGACGGCACACCGGCGCTCCCTCGCCATCTTCAGGGAGTCCTGGCGTGCCCATTCAAGGGCCGCGTCGTCGTCGAGCTCGACCTCCTCGCCGTGCTCCTTCTTCACCGCCGCCAGCCCCGGTTCCTTCTTCACCGGCGCCAGCCCTGGCTCTGTCTTCACCGGCGCCAGCCCCGGCTCCGTCTTTGGCTTGACGAAGCGCGGAGGAGGAGCCGACAAGGAGGCGCGCCGGCCGCCCTCGTTGATGACGATGCCGGCTGCGAGTGCGCCGGCCGAGCGGCGTCTCCGCCGCTGGCTCGGCCTTGACGCCGAGCAGCGTTGGAGTGCCGGAGGAGTGGGAGGAGGAGCGCGAGGAGGAAGAGGAGGAGGAGGTGCCAAACCTCCTTGGCGCCCATTGCCCGTCGCGTCGGCGGTGCGCCGGGACGGCCGCCCTCGCTGGGGGTATGCCAACGGCGGGTTGTTGCCGCCCTCGAGGTGCGTCAGCACGCCCTCAAGGGTGCGGCCGGGGGCGCCCCACCACAGGTGGCGCCCCTCGCTGTTCTTCGGGCCGCCGACCACCGGCGCGCCGTTGGTGGACACGAGCCGCTGCTGCTGACGCCGCTCGAAGTACGCCGCCCAAGCCGCGTGGTTGTCGGCGGCGTACTAGGGGAGGGAGAGCTGGGCGTCGGTGAGGGATGCGCGCATGATCTCGACCTCGTCGGCGAAGTACGAGGGTTTGGCCATGGCGTCGGGCAACGGGGGAATGGGCACTCCCCCGTTGCTGAGCCTCCAGCCCGTCGGCCCGGCGCGCATGTCCGGCGGCGCCGGGATGTTCGCCTGGAACAGGAGCCACGACTCCTGTTCGCGGAGCGAGCGGCGGCCGAAGCCGTTGGCGGCCGCCTCGTCGCCGGGGAAACGTTCGGCCATCGGGAAAGGGGATGGAGACGGAGGGGTGCGGTGGCTCGGAAAAGGGAGGGCAGGGAGAGAGCTCGGCGGCGGTGCTCGGGAGAGGTGGCGCTCACCAGAGGCGAGCGAGGCCATATATAGCCGAGCCACGCCCGTGTATATGCGTCCGAGGAAGGGGAAGCGTCGGCGCGCCATCCCGTGACGCGCCGCCCGTGAGGAATCAATGGCAAAGCTGACCGACGGCAGCCTTGCCATTGATTCCCCGCGGGAAACCGAGGCGTCGGGAGAAGACGAGGCGGGCGGGTGTCGCTGACGCGGCTGGCCTGCGGCTCTTTCGCGCCAAAAAAGATTGGCCCGACGCCCCCGAGCGCCCCCCAGCGCGCCGGGTTCGGGTTGGGTCCGCCGGCGCCAATTTCGGCCCGAGCCGGCGAAAACTGAGCCCTTGGGGGCGTGACTGGACCAATTTTTTAGCGTCGATGGCCGAAAAATCGCCTAGGGGGCCTTGTTAGGGGCGCGGCTGAAGATGCTCTTACAAGGCCATGTAGCATCTCCAACATAAACACAACGTGCGCTAATAAACTTTTAACCGAAATAACGTCTTTCGCTGGACAGGTGTTCTGCTTTAGCAGAAGTGCTATATTTCGTGCTTCAATAGACGCGCTAAAATTACAATGCTCGCGCTCAGCACAAACAACATTTTCCATTCAACATAGAACCAAAAAATCAAACACACAAAGAATAAGTCAACAATAAATAGTTTAATTATTATTACAACTCAAACAAATAATTTATCTTCCTATACAACAAATAGTTCAACAATACAACATCAAACAAATTTTGTCGTCCATTCCATACCCATCACTCCTTGATTAGATCCTTTTGAAGATCATCATGCGTTTCGGCACGTCGAATGGCATGATAGGAGCCAATAAATCCTGCCACCCTCGCAGCCCTCATTCACACTCGCAGAAGACGTCCCAACAATTCATACTGAGAATAGTCTAGATCTTGCTCGCGCTCATTCTTCATGATCGTGTTATGCATGATCACACAAGTGTTCATGATGTATCAAATGATATTTGATGACAAAATCTAGCCGGTTCTCTAACAATAGCAAATTGGACTTGTAATCACAAAAGCTCTCTCCACATCTTTCTGCCGCCGCCTGAGCATTGTGGAAATCAAGATTTTTCTTACCTTGCGGTGCCGTCAACAACTTTACAAATGTTTGCCACCTTGGGTAGAGACTATCTGCAAGAAGTAGCCATAGTTGTACGTATGACCATTTGCTACAAACTCCACCGGTGTAGTTTCACCATTTGCAATCTTATTCACGAGTGGTGACCGAGTAAGAACATTGATGTCATTCAAAGATCCCGGCATGCATTCCGAAAAAAGCATGCCAAATCCAAATCTCCTGATCGGCCACCACTTCAAGGATTATTGTGGTACCCTTTTGCTCGCCCTGGAATTGTCCATGTCATGCCTTAGGACAGTTCTTTCAACTCCCATGCACGCAATCTATTGAGCCAAGCATACCTGGGAACCGCGATCTTTGTTCATCTCCAAAAACCTTGCGGTGTCTTCAGCATCGGGAGCTCTAAAATATTCCGGACCAAACACTTGCACAATTCTGACTGCGAAGCGCTTGACACACATGATGGCTTGATTCTCACCCATGGCCAAGTGGTCATCGACAACATCCGCCGGAATACCGTATACCAACATACACAAAGCGGCGGTCACCTTTTGAAAGGTGCTATGCCCGAGTTCTCCGATGGCATTCCCCCTTTGCCGGAAAAAACCCAGATCATGGCTCGCCAGTTTCTCTGCAATGCATTTGAATAACTCGATGCTCATCCTAAAACGGCGTCGAAAGTACTCCCTCCGTTCGGAATTACTTGTCACAAAAATGGATGTATCTACAACTAAATTACATCTAGATACATTCATTTCTTGGACGATTAATTTCGAACAAGGGAGTAGGACTCGGTGTATGTGGCATTCTCCACGAAACAGTTCCTCATTGAATCATTGTGCTTCGTCTTTTTATTGACGTGCATAACTAGGATCATTGCGAGGTCCTCCTTGATTTGAATATCAAATTCTTCGTCGGAAGAATCGTAGGACGAACTCATCTACAATATTGAATTTAAACTAGTTTACAACTACAAACAACATGCATCAAATTCAACCACAAATATAAAGTTGAAGCCATACATACCTTGCAAGTGTTTTGTCAAACACCTTGTGGGCGCCGAGTTGAAAACGATCATCAGGGGCTATTCGTCTGAGGAATGGTGCGTTCGAGGGGCGGCGGCGAGGAGAGAAGGTGGAGGAAGCAGCGGCGGCGTGCGGGGATAGGCTGGGGAAGTGCCGACGGGTTGCCGAGCAAACGGGGAAGGTGGGGGCGGCGGCGCCTGCGCCTGGAGGTTTTAGATCTGGCGGTTGGTGAGATTCGCGCGCCCGATTGCCAGCGCGTGGGAGCTGGCGCAACAAATAAGCCGCGATGCCGTTTTCCTCCACGCGCTAAACCAAGTTTACCGCGCGCGCGATTATTGCGCGGCTGCTGAAGCGCCTGTTTTTTCCAGCGCAGCACAATAAAGCAGTTTTTTTCCAGCGCGCGGTTAAGATAGCGCGCCTGTTGGAGATGCTCTAATAAGTTCACAGTTTTGCTAGTTTCGTGGTGCCTATAAATTTCACTTTTTTGTTCTTCCTTCTTTCTTTTCAAGTGGATCAAGAACCAACCCCACTATCTATCTTAGGAAAAAGTCATAGCCTCATTATTTATCTTAGAGGGAAGCCACAGCCCTATTATCTTTAGGGTGGGGTGTGTGTGCGCGCGCGCGTGCTTGGGGGATCGTCAAAGTGGTTCATCTTGAAGCGAGGCGGTAGCCAGCACGACCATGGAGTGAGGTCGAGGTGTGAGCGGGACGGCAGCAATCTCTGGCCACGGGGGTGGAGGAAGGCGGTTAGGTTGGAGTGGGCTGCGGGGAGAAGGAGGAACCGTCACGAGAAAGGAGAAGGAAGAACGTGCGGGAGACAGAAGAAGATGAACAGTACACAATCTATTTCAGACTGTTGAATGAAGATGTGGCGGTCCAGATTTTCGAGGTACCTGAAAACTATACGCTCCCATGAGTACTAAATTTACTTGCGCCGAGATGCCATCGTCGAACTTTGAATCAGCTTTGGAGCCGTCGAGCAGCTTTGGAACCATCGAGCAGCTTTGGATCCCGGCCTGTTTACACTATCTTCCATATTTCCCAGGCGCACCGGAAATTCTAGCCATATTCTACATTGTGTCAGTGCTAGTATATATTTTTTCCTTACAAGTTGT